TATACAGTATATATATATATATATATATATATATATATTGTTAATCCTTTTGGTTAAACTTTATTTTGATAGTCCACTTTAGACATTCTGCTAACTATAAGTAACTTTGCAACTACATGTCAACTAATTCTCATTAATTTGCAACTACATGTCTACTAACTCTCAGAGTAGAATGTTAGGTGATTGGTTTAGGATTAGTAGAATAAATTGACACATACTTGCAAAGATTCTTATAGTCAGTATGTTGTATGTTGTGAGCCCATCAAAGTAAATTGTTAGAAGTTATTAAGCACAGTCTACTAATACTCTAATGACTTCTAGTTGACATGTAGTTGCAAAGTTACTTACTGTTAGTAGAATGTCTAAAGTGGACTATCAAAAAGTGTTACCATATGCTTTCTTTAAAGAAGTCTCTTGTGCTTATCAAGGCTGCGTTTATTTGATCAAAAATACAGTATAGCTGTAATATTGTGAAATATTATTGTAATTTTAAATGTTTTCTTTAAAATATATTATAAAATATAACATGCTCTCATTAAAGATGTTTATTTTAAATCATAATTTTTTAATGTATAAAACAAAAATTTCGATTTTGGTTTTACACTGTAGTATTTAAAGAAAATATATAGTTCTTGTGTTTCAGTCAGTAAGTTGTTGTATTTGTCTGGTTGCCTGGTATTTGTTGTTAGAATAAGACAACGGTGTAAGGTGTAAAGAATGTATCAAACATATGTGAAGGAAATTTTACATTTAATCATTTTCAAATTAATCTTAAAATCAGCTGATCATAAATGATAACTAACATTTCCATTTTTCCTGCAGTCCTAACCTTTAAGTGCATTTTGGGGAACAGAAATGTTCTATCCTCGAGTAGTGTTGAAATAGTGAACACATATAGACAAAGACAAGACGGCTAGACATCTGTCTGAAAATATTATGATTAGGGTTGGAGCTGAACTCTGCAGGAAGGTAGATCTCCAGGACCAGGGTTGGGCACCCCTGATCTACAACAATACAACTTTTTGTTTCACTTTAAATACTTGTCAGCTACTATAACTTAATGGATGCAGTCACAACATAACTAATGTCTGTATTGTCAAAAATGTACAGTAGTCAAAGGGATTTCAAATAAATGTATTAAATACAAAATAGAAAACATTTCATTCAGGTTAATACAGCTACATATAGCCAAAAATATAAATACACAAAAGTACAAAAAAACCCAAAGAAAGCAAACAAAGCAATGTAAGATTGTAGGATTTCGCCATGTGAAAGTTGATGTGTGCAAAAGTCTTATCTGTAGTACATCAATTTCCAAACACTGTCCATAGCTGAAGTTGGCTGATAGCACATGAATAATTTTTTCTATCTTTGTTTTTCATTTTATTTCTATTTGTTTTTTGTTTTTTTTGTTTTTATAAGCTGATATATCGGTCGACCACTAGCCACATCTTGTTTTGTTTGTAGCCACTTGTTTCAGATTGACTGCTTTTAACAAGTAAATGAGCAAAGTTACTTTTGATTTTCTATTTCAGGGAAATCCATTGCTTTAGAAACTAACTTTGGGATTTTCTGGAATAGACCAGTTTTATATATAATGTTTATTTATATAAATATACTAGAAGGAAAAAAAAAAAGATGAATTACAGCAAGACCAAAAACATCATAAGCCAACTGTTATGGATGGGCAGATCTTATTTAAATATATAATGAATAAAATTCACATTCATGATGTGATGACAGAAAATGTCAAACAAAAGAGATCACATGCTTTTGCGTAGAAATGTTAAAGCAGCTTGAAGCTTAATGGCAGTTATGCAAGAACACTTGTGTAGTTCCCGTGATGCACTTTTTAGGTTACTTTCATTTCCT